CTGGGGATGAAGAGAGAGGCCCTGGCACTGGGGTGGGGGGGCATGGGGGGGGGGCGTGAGCGTGGGGCGGGCCTCCTGATTGCCCCGCGACCTGCAGCCTGAGCTCCTGGGGGCGTAAGGAGCGTCTTCATTGGACTTTGAAACCCCAGGACAGAGCGTGGCATGGGGCATGTGCTCCGGAAATGTTAGTTGAATACATGAACGACTACTGTCATCAGTCATCGTCTGCCTTACATTTCAGTGCATTATGTCGGCGTGTTTGACCCCAAATTCGTTGAGTCCTTGGAGAGCAGGGACCTGCTGTCTGGGGACACCCGTGTGTGGCCTGGAGGCTGTTCCAGGAGAGCCCCTGGCTTCTCGAGTCCTGACCCCACAGGGGCCCCTGAGGGAAATCAGGGGCCTCTTTCCAGCCACTCAGAGCCCCACTGCCTTCTGCCCAGGGGCCTTCCCAGGGTTTGTGCGTCACCCTGAGAGGCCGGGGTCAGAAACTCGGGCTGGGTCCTGCTTCGGTGACTCACTACCAGTGTTGACCTTGAGCAATTCACTTCACTTCCTTGACCTTCCTTTCCTTCATCTGCAAAATGGGGACAGTAGCAGGGCAAGTGGGGATTAAGTAAGTAGCTCGAGTGCCTCGGGTTGTTCGCAAGGCGGGGGCGGGGCGGGAGGAGCTGACCGCTGAAGACCACTCCAAGGGAGAGTAAACACAAACTCTTCACCGGTGATATTCCCGAGACAGAGCAACACCACAGGCCCCGGGTCCCTTCCCCTCTCCTTCCTGTCAGTTGCCAAGAGGACACAAGTCACACAAAGAAGACACATCTTGAAACACCAGATTAGACTGGTTCCCCACCCCGGCACCAAGGAATGTGGGGGGCAAGGAACTCTTAAGGGCACATGGGAACAAAGGGTCCTGGCGCACCCCCCCAGTCTTGGTGCAAGGCTGATCTCGCCTCCTGGAGGGAGCGGTCCCTCCGTCCTCCTGCCTCCTCCCCACCCCTCTCCGGCGAGGTCCCTGCAAGACAGCAGGCGAGAGGCCAGAGGCGGCCTCCCTGGCTGGCCCTCGGCTCTCGGGGACCAGGGTTGTTGTAGACCAGCGTTTGGACCGAACTGGGCTGGGGCCGGCGGCTGCCAACCGAGGCAAAGGGCGGTGCCACCGGGCAGAGGCTGCTGCTTCTTGGCTCTAGACCTTCCCTTCCCACGCTCAATCCAGTGCTCGGGCTGCTGGCCACCCCATTGTCTGCCCACATCCCCAGACCCTGGAGCCCCAGGGATCAGAGACCCTGGGGACAGCTCATTGGCACTGGTGACGGCTTGGACCTTTGATCTTTATCCTCCTGGGTCAGCAGGCAGCCAGCCCCTGGAGCCTGTTGAAGGAGCTAAGGGCCCCTCCCTGGGCCTGCTGCAGAGGCCAGCTTCCCCTCCCGTGCTCCGGACTGGACAGAGAAACACCGCAGCTGGGGTCCCCGCGCTACCCTCAATTCTGCGCGTCTGATTCTTGGAGGCGTCTTCACTCTCGCCTCAGAGACCCGAGGGCAATGCCCAGGGAAAGCATGGGATTCGGAGTCAGGAGGCCTGTTTGAGTCACCTGGACGGGTCATCCACCAGGGGCCTCATTTCTCTCCTCTGTAAATCAGGGATCCTAGCATCTCCCTGCTCTTGAGAGGGGCCAAAGAGGGAAGTGAGGGCACAAGGCCCAGTAGGGCATAGGAACCAAGAAGACAGAAACACCCAGTCACTTCACTGAAAAAATAATTCTCAGGGGCGCCTGGCTGGCGGAGTCAGTTGGGGAAGCGTGCGACTCTTGATCTCGGGGTTGCGAGTTTGAGCCCCACAGTGGGTGTGGAGATTACTTAAAAATAAAATCTTTAAAAAAATGATTTTGAGGGATCCCTGGGTGGCTCAGTCAGTTGGACGTCTGACTCTTGATTTCAGCTCAGGTCATGATCGCGGGCCATGTTGGGCTCCGCTGCGCGTGGAGTCTGCTTGGGATTCTCCCTCTCTCCTCCTCTGCCTCTCCCCCTGCTCGTGCAAGCACGCACTCTCTCTCAAATAAATAAATCTTTAAAAAAATGATTTTGACTACTAAGTGCTTTATGTGCATCATCTAATCCCCACAACAATCCCATAAAATAGGGAAGCTGAGGCACAGAGAGGTTGTGTAATCTGCCCGTGTTCTCCTGGCCAGGACAATGGCGGGGGTGGGCCGTGGGAGCGAGGCCAGGCCGGCTTATCTCCCTCCCTCAGGGTGTCAGCGCACCCTGCCACTGGGAGCAGGGCCGCAGGAGCCTGACTGGGGAGGGGGGGTGTTGGAGTGGGGGCTATCTAGACAGCAGGCCTTCTTGGGGGTTCTCAGCTGCCTTCTCGCACACCTTTTATTTTTTTTTATTTTTAAAGGTTTTATTTATTTGGGAGAGAGAGAGAGAGGGAGAGGGAGAGAGAGAGCGCGCACAAGCAGGGGGAGCGTCAGGCAGAGGCAGAGGGAGAAACAGACTCCCAGCCGAGCAGGGAGCCTGATGCAGGGCTCGATCCCAGGACCCTGGGACCGTGACCTGAGCTGGAGGCAGACGCCTCACCGACTGAGCCACCCAGGCGCCCTCGCACACCCTTAAAAAACTTTTATTTTGCAGGTCCGGGGGCAGGTGAGTGAAGCGGGCATGTATGGGGCGATCCTGGAAAGCGGCAGGAAGGGAGAGACCCCGGAGGGGCTATCGGGGAGCACCCTGAGTGGGAGGGGCGCTGGTTCCTTTTCCTCTTGCCCGCAGTCTGTGTGAGAACATAAATCCCGGGCACCCCGGGGAGCGGGCAGTTTTGCAGGGAGGGAGGGAGCGCGGCCGCAGGGCGAGGGGAGACAGAGCGTGAAGATGGAGGGTGGGAGGGTAACCGTGTCTGCGACAGCGGATCCAGGCTGCTGGGGGCAGGGGCTCAGTGCCCACGGCAGGTGGCACCTCTCTGGGGCCTGGAAGCGTGCCACAAAGATACCGTGTACACCACAGAGCCACTGTCCCCTCGTCCCTTTGTCCAATTCCAAGCCTGTGTCCCCTGCCCCACCAACCAAGCCCCCTCCTCGCATTTCTCGTCACCCACTTAGCCGACAGCCTGAGGCTTCGGGCTGTGCCGGGCACTGGAGCGCCAGCCCCCCGCTTCCTGCCCACCCCCAGAGCACCAGCCCCAGCGGGCGCGGGCGGCAGCGTGAAGGGCGGTGGTGCAGGGTCCGCGCAGCAGCAGAGCCCCTCAGAGGGGCCTGGGCAGGAAGGAGAAGGTGGAACCGGCCAGGCAGAGGGGAGGCGGGGAGGGTGCTGTGGGCGGTGGGGCAGACCGGCGGGTCGGCAGGCCCGAGAGGCCCCATGGCAGAGGGGTGGAGAGCACGGGCACTGGGGCTCGCACCCCGGTCATACCCGTCACCCGCTGTGACTCAGTGTCCCCCCAGTGGCCTGGGGATACACGGCCCCTGCCCCAGGCGGCCGTCACGAGGTGGCAGGCGCGAACACCGGGCAGCCTGGCCCGGGGTCACGGCCCGTCTGCGGCGCGGGCTGTGCGGCTGGGGGGGAACCCCGAGCCACCAGAGGGCTCCGGGCCCCACCCAGGCGCCGAGGGGCTGAGCCCTACCTTCTCCCCTCCCTCCGCCACCACCTCCACACAGTTCTGTGCGCTGACGGGCAACGCAGGGGGCCGAGCCAGATGCCTGGGGCCTCATCTCAAAACCACAGCCCATTGCGTTCCTCACCAGCTGTCTCCTTTTGCTTCCAGCAGCGGGAGGCGGGCCCGGCACGGGGGTCTGCCTCTGAGCTCACTCCCAGCTTGACTTGGGTGGTTCGGGACTCCACCAGTCTCTGTCTCTTCACTTCGTCCCGAGCAGCGATCTTGACAGGCTGGGTGGGTCCCCAGGGCCATGGCCATCATGCTCCTCACCGGCTAGTAAAATGGTGAACTCTTGTAGAATTCTGGGGACAGCCGCCGCTAGCCGAGTACAAGGTGGCCTCCCCACGCATCTCCTAAGGCCGCTCATGATCCGCCCTGGCTTGCCTCTCCGGCCTCGGCCCTCATCGATCCCCTCGGCCTTCCCGAACCCCCAGGACCCTTCAAGAGGAGCCAAACACCTGGCTATGATTCGACGAACGTGGGGCCCTCGGGGGAAATGAGGTGACTTAGCCGGGCACCGTCTTTTGTAGGCTGTGTTGTGGGACATTCAACACCCCAGCGAGACCCCTGCCTGCCCCTCTGGATCCGTCCCCCACTGGCTTCCCGAGTACTGGCTTGTCACATACCTCCCCAAACCACCTGTATCGAGAGAGAATTCACGTAGCATGGAATTCACCCTTTCAGAGTAACCGTGACTCTGGTTTTCATTCAAGTTGTGCAGCTCTCAGCGCGACCTGCACAGCCCCGCCTCCCTCCAAGAACATGCGGCCCAGCAGCAGCCCTGCTCTCCTGGGCAGCCGCTGGCCTAGGCTCCGTCTCCAGACTCGCCTATTCTGGACGTTGCCTATAAATGGAACCATACAACGTGTGGCCTACTGGGTCTGGCTTTGTCAGGCGCTCTCTTTTCTAAAATTTTAATTCTCAAGTAAGCTCTATGCCCAACACGGGGCTTGAACTCACCACCCCGAGATCACGAGCCGTGTGTTCTACCGACGGAGCCGGCCGGGCTCACGTACTCTTCATCTTCAGGACAATCTTGAGGCAGGAAGCTCCCCCACGCACCGGTGTCCCTGGCTTCAGCTGTCCCTTCTCTAGCAGCGGCCACTGACGCCAGGATACGGACAGTCCCCGAACCTGTCGGACCTGCCCCTCCCTGTGCGACTGGACGAACGGGGGGGCGTGGGGTGGGCACAGGCTCGGCAGGTTCCCGGCCACGGCCGCCCTGGCGCAGCATGTCAACACCACCAACACCCTGCAAACGTTATTTAAAAGTATTTTTTTTATTTAACTTTAATTTCTGAGGTAAAATACTTTTTTCTTTCAACTTCCATAACAAAATACAGAGCTATCAGATACCCCTGGAAAAAATATGTATATTATACATATATTTCTATAACATTACATCATATATATATATAATATATATGCAAAAATCTGAAGACTTTATAGAAAGTGGAACATCTAAAAGGCACTGCACAATGGAGTCGATTACTTACATCTATGTACATATACACACTGCTGAAGTGGGTAACTAGTGAAGTCACCTTTCACATGTGAATGTCTCACTCACAAATCCCTGCCTCACAATTTTATAACTCAAAGAACGCCCAGATATTTCAAAACAAATTAACTGGTAACTCCCCCCACCCCCCAAAGTGAAAATAGAACAGTTCTTGAAAGATTGGATCAAAAAATTTTTTTAAGCAAAATTAAAATGTTTCATTACCCTTTACAAAACAAAAAGTACAAACATAATTATGGAATAAATAAAAAACAAGGGACAAACAGCCAACTGACTACCCGCTTGGTGAGAAGTGATGTACTTCAACTATGTTTTTTAATGCTTCTGAAAGTTTCTTGGCCCATGGAGGACTAGGGTGCAGTATTTCCCTGCATTAGCTAGCGAGCTGGTTTAATGCAGTGCAGCCTGAAGACTGGGGTGAAGGGACACTGTTTGCATGAACAAGTTCTTAATGAAATTTCAAGATTTGTATTTGCAAAGTTTTAAATGTTTGGCACAGCGAAATCTGGAAAAAATGGAGGAGAAAACAGGCTTGGTTTTGTCCCCCTTTTCTCCACCTGCTGCCAGTGATGAAACTCACAAGAGAGGCCTGGTTTTGTGCTGGGCTGGCGACAGGTGCTGCCAGGAGGGGGTCGGGGGGTGAGAAAGTACCCCCCACCCCTTTACCCCAGGAAATGTCAACGACTTCCACATTCCTGGTCCCCTTCCTGAGCAAGCCCAAGTTTGGCTCTGTGTAAGGATCCCCACACCCTGCCCCAGCCCCAGTGTGCAGTGCAAATCAACCAATGATTTCCTGGTGGAATGGCAGTCAAAGGAAACAGTAAAACACCAAACAATTTCTTAAAGCCAAAAAACATTTTTCATGGAGTTGAACATTTTTCGAGTGTGTTTTTTCAAGTTAAAAGCAGTGACTTTTTGTTCAAACAGAAGCAGCATCTAGAAATTCTGGCACTTGGGTTCCAGGGGGTTCCAGGTATGCATCACGGATTTCTCTCCCTCGTATTTTAAAGGCCTCGAGTTTCTATTCCTGAGTTCATACCGACACGTGCCGGCCCTCTGCTCTCATGGACAGAGGGGGGGCCAGCCAGCCTCCCTGGTTAGATTGAGCAACGCCAAGCAGAGAGCCATCCTGCACCTGCCCGGGCTTGCTTTCTGATCCGAGGTAAGAGATGCAGAGAGAGAAATGGACGAGAAACCAAAAGGAGCCTGAACAAGGAGCCCTTCACAGCCCGACCAAAGCCCGAGTTGACAGAGACCGCACTCCAGATCCCTTCCCTAGGGAAGGACACGTCACTATTTGGAATCTGAACTGAACGAGGAGGTGGACACTTGCCAGACAATAGCACGATGGACTCAAGTCATCCGAAGCCACCTATCAACCCACTCACCTGCTCTGACCCTTTCCCATCTCTCATGCATGCACTCCTTTCAAAAAGATCCCCCCAGCCCCCATTAAAAGACACCCCTCGAATGCTTCTCAGTGTACAGAGTTCACTGAGGCTAAGGTGGAGTCGGGGATTCCTCCAATTCCTAGACGGCGCCCCTGTGCCCACTTCTCACCTCCACTGGCTCTAGAGCCCTCTCCTCTCTCCCTGCCTCGAGGCCAGGCAGACTTGAGCCACTTCAGCGTCTCCTCTGTTGGCCACAGCGCGTGGTTACGAGCACGCACACGTGGGTGGCTGTGGCTTCTCTCTGCACCCCCCCCCCCAAAATCAGGCCCCTTCTGCTTCATGCCAGAGTGACACTTTCCTGTTCCTTTGTGCTGAGGGGCTTTCTCTCGGAGAAATAGCTTCTACCTGTAAACCGGAGTCTCCTGTGGGATGGTCAGTTGATCGTGAGAACGAGAACAATCTAGGGAAGTGGGTATGGCAGGAATGACACAACGGGACAGACACACCGACTCCCTCGTTCCTCCCGGGCTCTGGCATCTAGCCTCCTTCTGTGTCTCTGTCCACCTCCGCCTTCAGCCTCCACAAGCACCCACTGCACCCCAGCTACCTTCTGCACTTCCGGGCTTCATTGGCCCTGAGCTCCCACAATCCTGCCTTTCTGCTCCCCGGCCCCAGGAAGTCAAGAGGGGACCACTAAACACCAGCTCGACATGTAACCATGTTTCCACGTTCCTGGGTTGTCTGAAGAGTTGTCCGTCCCTTTTACAGGTTTATGCTGACAGACCCGTATCACGTGATGAAAGTATGTTCATTGTTAAGGCTTCACTTAGGAGACGATCAGAGACCCAGACACGTCGCAGCCATCTCCAGGGCTGGGCTGCTCGGCGGACTCACTCGCAGTCACTCTGCAGTCTGGCTCCCCAAACCCACGATGGTAAAAGACAAATGAAGATCATTTTTGTGTTTGTTTTTAAAGGCATCGGGTTACTTCCTCATGCCCTCTTCTGTCTTCCCTGAACGAGAGCTTACGAGTCCTCATGGCTTCTTAGCAGGTGGAGGAGGGGCGAGTCCAAGGAGCCCGCAGCGCGAGTCCCGCCGCCCCGCCGGGCCCTCCCAGCCCCGGGACCGGTGCCACGGCTCCCGCTTCCTGCAGCCGGTTTTTTAAAAAGGAAAGGAAAAACTGCCAAACGACAAAGGAAGAAAGAAGAAAAGCAACATCTGAACATCCCCCTGTCCCAGTAAGACTGAGATTACGTTACTCCTCCCCCGAAGGAACTACACAGAAACATTTCAGGCAACACACTTGGTAAAATGGTCTCTCACTGCTCAGCCTCCCCACCACGCCCTACTCCCTTCTCCCTCCCTCTCCGAGCAAAAGAAATTCATTAATGGCTTTTCATATATAAATACAATAGAAAAGAAAGAAGTCTGGAACCTGAACTATAATGGGACCAAGGACACCTTGGCCCCCTGGGAGTTTGTCAGAAAGTGTGAGCCTCCCCAGGAAGCAGAGGCTCTTCCTCCTTTCAGTTCATTACCCTTCCTGCGTGCTACTCACCAGGAAAAAAGTGTTCACGTCCCACCTAATTTACAACAGAAGATACCCATCCCATCCCCCAAACATAAAAAGACGTTTATGCCCCTAGAATGATCAAACCAGTCTAATTCCCTCCCCTCCCCCCAACCCTCAAACCTCGCTACATAAATACACGTCTGCATGTGATTATAGTATAAACAGCTCCCAATCCACCTCCAGTCCTAGGCGTCGGCAGCGGCTGTGGCCAAGCCCCGGGGTCCAGACCCACTCCAGAGGCACTTCCCGTTCTTACTCAGCTCTCGGGCTTCAGGGTCGTCGTTCCAGCGCCGCTTCAACCGGAGCTTGGGGGGCATCAGGGCATCTTCTTTCTTCTCGGGCACGCTGGGCTCTTTGCCAGGCCTGTCCTCACTGTCTTCAGTCACCTCTAGGGGTTCTTCACTTGGGCTGCTAACGGGGACAGAGGGCCAGACTGGTGCGGCCGGGCGGGCAAAGATGGTGCCTTTTTCCTCCTCTATGGTCCTGCTTGGCACAGTGCCCTCCTCATGGGAGCGTTCCTCCTCTCGCACCAACTGCCGGAGACTCTCGGGATCCTTGTCAGAGGCTGGCTCCACCTTAATTCTTGGGGGGACGGGAGCCATGGCGGGAGCGGTGACGGGGGCTGACTCCTCACTGCTCTCCACCCTCTCCCGGTTCTTCCGCCCAGCTGGCGGTGGCTGCAGCTTGATGGAGAACTGGGCCGACTCCTCGGGATGCATTTGGCACTGCAGTGGCGGGACCATGAGTCCTGGGTAACGGGGAAAGGTCCGGGGACTCAGATGGTAGTTGAACACAGAGCAGGCTTGAGAATGAAGGTAGTGTTTCATTTCCTCGGGGTTGAAGGAGAAGCAGCTGCTGCTGGTGAAGGGGCTCAGGCCTGGGGACGGGCTGTAGGAGAAGATGGTGGGAGTCAGGGAGAGGGCTGGGGAGATGGGGACGTTCAGAACACCTCCGCGGCCAGGGAGCGGAGAGACAGCGAAGGGACTGTGGGGGTCAGGGTACATCCCTGGCCTGGTGAACAGGGGAAGCATTATGTCAGGCTTGCGTTTCTGATGGCCAAGCCCTCCACCGACGGCACTCCGGGAGGAGGAGGACAGGAGATCCACGCCCCGGCGCCAGTCGGCGGCTGAGCCATCCTCCAGCTCCGGAAGCTCTGCCTTTCTGTCGGCGCCACTGGCCGACTCCTGGCCAGAAGCAGTGAGGGAGCCGGCAGAGAACCGCCCCGGCCGCACGGCACTCGTGGGAGAATGTGTGTCCAGCGGTGGGAAATGGAACCGGGAAGAGGCGGTCGGCACTGGTGGCGCACTCTGGGGAACCACACCTGTGATGGTGGAGGAGACAAAGGCCACTTTAGAGAACTGGTCACCCGTCGTCAGCACGGTTACTTATGCTACGTGAGCCCAAGATGTTTACATCTTGTTATGACAGGAAGCCAACGCTCCGGCCGCGTGGAATCCCTCCGCCCCCCATCTTCCCAGGAGCACAGCTCAGCTTCCTCTACCCGAGCCGGCTGCCGTCTTTCCCTAGCCCTTGCCCACTTAGTCTTCACAGTACTCGTTACCACCTGAGATAACCATTATTCATCTGTGCTCTGAAACATCAATTCCACGAGGCGGGGGAGAATTCCTACTGTTCACGACTAGACATAAAGCAGTTTGTGGTTAACAACTAGTTGGGGCTCAATACAGGTTAGTTGAATGAACGGATGGGTATGTGAGCCTTCTCCTCTCCAATCTAGATACTGTGCTGCAATTCTCAGCTTGGTAAGTAGTGTTTTTTTATTTTCATACTTTTGGCTTTATCGATCAAGCAAGCAAGCAAACCAAACACAAACACCACTGGAAATGATGCGCACGTAAAGCAATGCATTAAAAGCCCAAAGACTCTGCACCTCACATACTCAGACTCGCGCAAGACCATATTTAAGAACAAAAGAAGATTAAAAAAGAAAAGGCCATATGGTCATTAAGGTGAGTTCTTATGGTAGATCTTTTATCATTTCTGATATAAAATCACCACAGAGATTCAAATATCTTTTGATCTCTCTAAATCTGTTTCCTCTAACACATTCTACGTAATGATCTCCATTCCCATCCTGCTTTCAGTGCTCCTCAGGCCCCGAGCAGGCTGGGAGACAATACAGGACCTGTTCCCCCCTGCCCCCCGCCCCCGCCAAGTCTGCCCGCTAAAACTGAAACTCGAGTTGAAGCAGAAACCAACACCACACTAAACACATCATATTCAGAGGCCCATAGGTTCTCCACTCCCCCCAAAGGTCCTTCTCTCAACAAGGCGTAAGAAAGGTGTGCCAGCAGAGGCCTCAGAGCCCCCTCCGGGTTCCTGGGAGGTACCGGAGGCTTCGATCAGTGATGATGTCAGGAGGGCTTTTTACACTCTGAGGCAGAGGTAAGGGAGAAGGAAAAGTAAGGAAACCCAAGTAAGTATGGTGACCTAGGAGAAGAAACGAGGGCGTGAGGCCTGGCGCGGCTGGGAACTGCGCCATCAGCTACCTCCTTCCGGTTCTGGAGTAACAGGGGCCATCGGCCAGGACTCTGGCGTGGGCTGCCGTGTGCACTGTGGCCTCTGGGCACCTGGGACTGAGTGACACTACCAGAGCATTTCCCAAACCGAAGTTCCACAGAAACTGCTCCTTGTCCCCCTAAAGCCAGTGACCTGATTTTTCAATGAGAAAAACTGATGCATGACCTTGTATATAATTTGACTAGAATCAAGAAGGTCCCAGGCCCGCCTGGGTGGCTCAGTCGGTTGGGCGTCTGCCTTCAGCTCAGGTCATGATCCTGGAGTCCCAGGATCGAGTCCCACGTGTGGCTCCCAGCTTGGCGGGGAGTCTGCTTCTCCCTCTGACCCTCTTTCCTCTCATGCTCTCTCTCTCTCAAATAAATAAATAAAATCTTAAAAAAAAAAAAAAAAAAAAGGAAGGTCCCAGGCCAAAAATATCTCTTCTGCCAGCCTATTACAGCAGCTAAAATTCTATCTACTCTTTTTGATTCATTTGGGTCTTGATTTTATATTAAGACCACATCTACTGAAAAGCAAAAAACCACTTTTCATGTGTTCTGAAGGACTAGGAGTATAATGTGGTGGCGGAGGGGCGTGGGGGACAGAAGGTCCTGTCTCCTGAACAATTTAGTTTAGTTTTGTTTTTTTTTAAACTGGAGGGTATTTCCTTCTTTACACAGGTCAAGGTACATTGTAAATTTGCAAGAAGAGCACAGAACACACAACACTTTCCGAATGAACTTAGGGAAGGTGTAACCTAGGAGCAATGCTGCAGGGAGCACTCTGGACCCTCCCCCCTGACCAAGCATAGCTGCCTACCGTTACATGGGGTATACTGAGACAACAGGTCTACGGTTCTGTTTGAAAAACATTAGCTTACTGCTTCCACAACTCTGAATAACACTGCTTTGAAGGAGATGACCTTCAAGAAGCCACTATGAAACCTGAGTGGCTGAGCTGAAAAATCTGGGTGTGAATCTCAGTCCTTGCACGTTCTATTTCGTAGCATGTAACCAACTGGTTTTTGACCCTCTTTGGCAAAATGGAAATAACAAGACCTTTGCCTAGGTTCAAACCCCGGCTCTACCACTTCTTAGCTGTGTGACTCTGGATAATTTACTTACCTTTCTGTGCCTCAGTTTCCTTACCTATAAAAGGGTCAGCAACAGGACTAATCCTCATGTTATGAAAACTTAAAGGCTTAATATTTTTATAAAGTCCTTACAATAGTATCGGCACACAGCAAATTGTATGTTAGGTATTTGTTAGGACACGTAATTTTTTACTACACAATAATCACACTTTAAAAACAAAAACTGTAAAAGGCACATACTATTAGACAAGAACAGTAGAGTCATGTTAAATTTCCCAGGTATGTTAATGTTACTGGGGTCATGGAGGAGAATGTCCTTGTACCTAGGGGATACGTGCTGAAGTATACAGGAGACAAATGTCATGTCGTCTGTAACTTAACCTCAAAAAAAACTTAAAAAATATATATAAGAGAAAAAACATGTGGCAACAATGTCAATCATTAGTGAACCTAGAGAGAGGACACATGGGTGTTCACAGTTCTATTTTTTCCCATTTTTCTATAGGTTTAAAGTTTTCCAAAATAAAGAGAAATACAAAACACCAGGGTGGGGGTAGGGAGGCACAGAGGAGAACTCCTGAACCAGTCCCACTCCACCAGGTGAGCACTGTTCCTAGTATCTTCTGTATGTTCCCAATGTTTCTGATGGACAATAAACATTAAAAAATACAGAAAAACATATTTTATAGCACACTTTTAAGAGTAATGACGAGACTGTACACAGAAGTACTTCCACACCATCCAAATGTCAAGCATTTTACCCTAAACTGTCAATGGTGAGGAGGATGGTGGGGGAAGAGAGAGCATTCATTGTGCTTTTTACTCTAAACCTCTGAATTATTTGGATACGTACCACCACCATCTAGACATGATCTCTCTGACCTCCAGATTCAAAATCCACACAGCTCTGCTACCTAGAGAGCTTGTCACATTCCACACTGTTATTTCGAATTGTGCTCAACTTCATCTATCTTATCTCTCCTGCTAAATTTTATGTTCCTTGAGAGAAAGAACTCCACCATAATCTTTTCTTTTTGTTTTCAGGACTTAACACATTATCTGTTGAGCAAACGAATGAATTCCAATCTGGGGGAGGAATGTATGAACTATTCAATAAAAGCTGGATTTCAAGAGCTAAGTCTCTCAGGAGTGGTTTCCTGAGAAACCGTTCAACAGGTAACTGTACTCAACAAGCCCATATCAATCTTGGACTTTGCTGTCCTCTGTAATTTTCTCATTTGTAAAATGTGAATACTGAGATACACACTTTATAGCAGGCTGGGAGAGTTGAACATGGTAACTCACAAAACACCAAACAAAAGTACCTCCACGAAGCAGATGCTCAATAAATGTTACGTTTCCCCTGTCACCATAAAAGTTAAACCAGAAACAACATTTGGCCTATCTGGGTAAAAGTGCTTTATGAGTTAATGACTCCCGTTCTTTGGGGTTATCTGTACCCAAGACGTAAGCAACCAAGTATATACCTAAATGAAATGCACACTGATCTGCTTTCCCTGTGACTTCATTCCGCTAGGGTCTTAAACTTTGTTAAGGATCAATGTTGGTCCCACTGCTTTCAGGCAGACTAGGCTGTGCCAGGCATTACCGCTAGGTCGCTGGCAGACCAGAGTCTTCCCCGAGTGAGGATCCAGATTTTCTTCCCCTGGAAGGGCGCATTACTCCCAAGGGCTGATGGGTGTGCCTTGTTCCAGGCTGCCCAAGTGGCTGGACTTCTGGGTTTTCAATAGACAAAAATGGGTCAAAGACATTAAGAACAAAACCGACAAAGCCCTTTTTGGCGGGGGGTGGGCGGGGAGTGGTTTGGAACACCAACACATTCTTCAAAATTGCTGGTATATCCAAGTAGAGTCCCAATTCCTCTAGGTAGACAGGAAGGGGGCCAGAGTGAAAACTAGAGGAAACAGGATTCCAGTGGCTAGAATGGTCTGATTTCCTAACACCTCTCCCTCAGGCACCAGGAAAGAAAACAGGTTGTGATTAGAGAGATGCATTCCAATACCACTTTTTTTTTTAACACATGCCCCAGGGACAGGAGGGAGTGGCTACAGGAGAGATGAGATGGAACTGTGGCGATATAGCAGCATCAAGCCCAAACTGCCCTAACTTGTTGTGTGCAGTTAACGACCTATCTGCAATGGATCTCAGCAGTATATTCTCAGCCACACCCCCGCTCTGATTTTTCAAGTTTCTTCCGACTTTTCTCTGAGAAGTCAGAATACTGCAGCATAACACACACCACCACAGAAACAGAGTACTGATGGACTGGTCAGAAACTGGTTAAATACAATCTATTTTCCTAGGGAGGGAGAGGTCTTGCCTCTGAACTGAAACAAAACCAACCCCCTACTAAGAGACTGGACAGAGGCCAGTGTGACCTAAAACCTTCGTGAGGAGCCGTGATGGCGAGCTATCCGAGGAGAGCCTGGAGGGGAAGCCTTGCTGCACTTAAGAGCAAAGAAGGTCAAGTAACCCCAGACCTTACTCTCTGAGGAGGTGCTGCTGCAGATCAAAGACACTGCTTTTCACTGCAAACATACGAACCTCCCCTTCTGTGATTAAGGATGCTGTGGTTTTGATGATATTCACTTGATAAGGGAGAGCTTGGTAGTTTCATAGAAAATCGGAAGTGTTTGTAGAAACCGGTTCTCGTCTATGAAAGAGCCGCTGGGCAGGGTGTTAACACTGTGAGTTCTGAAACACTGAACTGAAACATGAACGCGAACCTATGGAACATAATTCCTAAAGACGACAGCGGAAAAGTATCTGGGAGACACAAATAATATGCACAAAAGAGAACCAAATAAACAACTAAACAAATCTCTCTTGATGTAGCAGACAGAGCCTGTCACTCCCTGTAGGGGACAAACAGGGAAACCTAAGCAGGACCCTGGGGGCAATCCACGCAACTCTAGTCTAATTTCTAAAATTCCTTTAACATGCCAGGTCTTAGACTTGGGTTTTTAAACTTCTTTATCAAATCAAAATTCATTCCCCACCGAAAGTTTGCTTCTTACCACTTGACCGAATGTTGATGAATGGGTAGTTGGGCATCACCAGCTTGTTGAAGTTAAATTTATAAGTAAACCTTTTCCCTTTTGTTTTATGAAGGATCCTCTTGTTGTAATAGTATCTGTAAAAATAGGAACATGTGTCAATTTACCTTCTAGCTACTGACAATTTTTAATACACACAGGTAACCACTGAGATCAACAGTTCTGGCTCTAAGTATTACATCGAAACATCACTATCATTCTTTTGCAGCCCGGCCTTGAGGTTAGGGCTGGGAGACTTATTCAATTTTCAAACGATGTTCTAAGTCCTTGGCTGGAGCTTTACAGAGACAATCTCACTTTAAGATCCCGAACACCTATCCTAGCCCCAACCACTCTTCTCCTCTGTCACTCTACAGTTTCAATTCCATAGTCCATTTCCTTCCTGTTCCCCTGTGTGTCACTGCCGTGCCCAGGCGGGGGCAGACAAGTCTCTTGGGACGCCTGACATGGCCAGTCTGGAGGCCCGAGCACAAAGCGCAGGCGAAGAAATGTCCAACTGTTTTGTGGCAGTGGGTCCAACAATCATGTGCCCCAATGTGGACAACAACAGGCGGCCTGGCCTGCCTCACTTTCACAAGGATGCGAGAGAGGGTCCAGCGCAGCTGCCCAGCTGTGACATTCAAGGTCACCAAGACTGAAGAGAGAAAGGGGCCTCTGGCCGGGAACCTATTCGGGAGCACCACTTACACACGGCCTTCTGGCCCCTTGAGGGTGAAGAGGTTATGAAACGTAAAAACTGACAAAGAGAAAAAAAGAAATGGAGAGAACCTGAAGTGGTCAATCTTTAGACATGTCAGAGCAACCTTTGGACTGACAACCGAGCTCACAGATATGGGACCTGAACAGCAAGGTCAGGTCCACTCAGGGAGCCCTCCTCCTGTGTGCTCTGCTTGCTTCACATTTCCCAGTTTCTTCCAGGAGAGCCTAAAGAAGAGCAATTCTAACAGATTTCCCACAGGGAAGCCTAATCTTTCAGATTACAAATGAGCTCCGACCTGAGTTTCACCGCACACGCTCGCCCACTACAGAGCAGAAATCGGTGGTCTGTCAGGACCCAAAGCCAACCACGTTGGAATTCCCTCCTACACAGAACCAAAGATATGCTTTTCTCCTCCTGTGCCTGTGCTACTCAGATTCAGCAGCTCCTCTCCTCCCACTTCAAAGCCACACATATTCACTTAGACAGTGCAGTCTCTTTCCACCTGATACCCTTCTTATCCAACATTCACCCCACTGCTTCGTCTCCTTCCGATCTGTTAACAGCATGGATTTGGGAACCCTCTCCCTCACCTGAGGGCCCGGCTCAGCTTGTCGTAGTTCATCTGGGGTTTGCACTTCCTGCGGCCCCAGAGGCGGGCCACCTCGTCAGGATCCTTGATGACAAACTCCCCGTATTCTCCCTGCTGCCAGGCAATGACATGGCGGAACTCTTCCTTCTGCAGCAGTTCCAGGATGAAGTGCCACAGCTGGATCTGCCGGGAGCCCGGGGAGGACTCGGTTTTATAGGCCCAGTCAGGGAACTGATACCCTTTAATGGGAAAAGGGCAAGATCAAGGTAGTCAGGAGTTAGGTTCATACATATCAGTATCCCCGACTTCACATTCCGATGCTCAGAACCTCTAGAGTGCTGTGCAAACATGCCATAAACAGCCCTTCGGTCAGCTGGGGCTAACCACAACAGGGGAGAGGAAAGCACGGAGATGTCACCTTTCCTGTGGCAATCACTTGATCTGCTAGAGCTGGACAGCAGCACCCAGGTGTGCCAACCTCTCGCTCTTTCCTGCATTACTAAATCTCACACCTACTTTCCACGAGGGCAGGAACGTTCCAACAGAAACAAACAGGAAAGACGAGCTAACATTTTAGGGAAATACGCTGAAAACCCCTTGTCCCTGAGGGTGGAACTGTGTCTCTAACAGGGAGGAGACTCTAAAGCTTGGGATAAAGGTGTGGTGACCAGACATGTTAATATACATCCATAAGAAACAAGCCTAAACTGTGCTAGCAGTATCCACCCAGTCAAGAGGCTGTCTAGTCATGGTCTGACATTTGTGAACATAGCCCAAGTGGAGAGAAAAGGAACCCCTGAGGGACATTCCAGGTACATCAGAGATGATTAACTTCTGCTCACCTCCACCTCCTTCTGGCTTTTCCACGATGCTACAGCCTGCTTTCATTTTCGCCCTCCTGCTGAGAGACACAAGCCACATCAATTACTTTAAGGTGCTATTTATTTATTCTCCTCCCAAGGTTTTCTGGCACAGCCTTTCCCCAAAGTTCCTTTCCTTGTCTTTCCCTCCTTATGTAACCCTCTTTCTTTCAAATATGTCACCTCCAAACTGCTAATCCCCAAGTCCTCAAATGATGGTCCTCAGGTCATCAGCTTCAAAGGCCATAATTATCTCTCACCTGACTTTAAACCACAAAGTGTAAACACTGCTTTAATATTTGCTTTCTTTCTCCTGACCAGCCCTTCAGATGTAAGAAAGGAAGAGGGCAGTGAAATGGGTCCAGAAAGGCAGCCAAAACAAGCCCAACGGTTTTCTTCTATTACTAGACAGGCCCAGATGCCAAGACACACATGCCTGAGTTCACCCAGATGTACCAGTTTTAAAAAGAGTAAAAAAAATCCAAGTCCATCTGACTGCAACTCCTGAAAACATCTGATTTTGATTTATTTTGCTGAATTATGGGAGATGGGAGAAGGAAAACTCCTCCCAGTCAGAAACTAACCCCCTCTCCTTGAAAAACACCGTGGGATACAGGAAGTAAACACACCACATGTACAGTTACTCACATTACTTTGAGAAATATTTTCACATTTTTCTCCCCTTAACAGGAAGGAAAAAAGGCAGGCATTTCTGAGAACCTTCTGTTGAAAAAGCGCAGGGAGTCTTGCTGTGATCTGAATTCATTCCATCCAGATTTACAGTTCCTCAATAAATTTCCTGTTCCTAGCAGCAAGCAGTTTTGTATCAGTCAATCCTTTAGCAAAACGGAGGGAGGGGTGAAGCTGCCTGAGGGAGAGGCGGACAGGAGAGGGCAGATCTCCGCTCTCTGCTCCCCAGGGTGGATGAGAGGGCCGCAGCACCCACATTAGCAAGAGCGCTCCTGGACGGAACGTAGGTGCCTCAGTGGCCTCGGGGTGGGGTGGGGGCGAATTCCTAATCTTGGAAATTTCATCTAACCTCGGATTCCTCTACATCTTTCGAGCTTTTTTCTCACCACATACATTAAAATAATCAGCGAGTTTGTCTATAAAACTATGAGGACAACATAAACACCCCAAAGGAAGGAGGAAACAAACGCAAACACAGACACGCAGTCACACGAGACACACAATCACAAGGCCTCGGAGCCTCTCCCGGCTGGCTGCTCCCAGCTCCCCGACAACCAGGGAGGAAAAACACCGCTCCCCACCGTTCCAGGAAGCCGCCCGGGCTCCCAGTCCCGGATGGCTCCGTCGGAATGCAGGCCCTCCATTCTGCCGCAGGAGTGCCCTCCAAGCGCACGACTCGGGGGTCCGGACCCCGCCGCGGCAAGGACTTGACCAAGAAGCTTCCTCCCGACACCCCGGCTCCCCGATCACCCCCTCGCCGGAGTCCGCAGACGCCTTGTCCACGCCGCCCGTAAATTCACCGCGAGGCCGCTCGTCTCGAGTCTGCAACCCCCCCGGGCCCTCGCCCTTCCTCAGCTCGCGGCCGTTCCCGGGAGGGCGAGGCGAGCGGAGGCCGGCGCTGCGGCTGCCC